GGTGGCGTGATTACTGATGTGCGACACCTGCGCGACGCACCGGTCTCGTATCTCTCACGGAGGAGCGGAAGCATAAAAGGATGAGCGACGACAGTGGATATCGAGAGAGGAACAGGCCTGAACCTGTGTTTTGTTTTGTTGGTGTTTTATTATGTGACAGCAGTCGTCCGTGAGGGGCTGCTGTCTTTTACTTTCTTTTTGTATTTGTTTATTTTATAATTAAACTTGTTGAATGTTCGCCGGTTCCCGCCTCCTTCTTCCCATAACAACTGAACCTTATTACACTGACCAATCAGACCAAGCAACAAAACACTTTTATAGGCAATCAGCAATAGGGATGTCAATTTCAAATATCAACAGTGTTTCTCAGAAATCACTTATGCACCTTTAAGGGTAAATATATACTCTATATACTCCATAATATACATACATACATGCATAAATGTATAATCTGATGTAAATAAATATATATTATATATATGTATATATGAGAATTCCTGTTTTCTTCGCTGTGTGCACCATGTACTCATCAGCAACTGCAATATTCTCCCCACCTTTGTCAGATCGGACTCTTGATGGCATACCTTATTGATTAACAGCAGATATGAAGCTGCTGAGCACAGTGGATGCTTGGTTATTTGGAGACGCAGAAAGATAAACTATTAGTCGGCTGAAACCATCGATACCACCATGAATCACCAATCTCCATCTACAGAATAAACAAGAATATTGGCAAAACAAGTTCTTTACTACAACAATGCACATTGCCCAAACATCAGATTTGAAATATGTGGACATGTAATGTTCACATCACCTGAAATTGCCAATTACAGTTAGTACTAGCCATGATGTTGTGTGGCAGTAGATCAATATGATTAATTATATGCACATTCTCCATAATTTAATGGAGACTATATACACCCAATTAGTCCTCACAGGCACTACATTTTTCATGAGTCTTCCATAGACTATAAAAAAGGTTACTTGGACTTGTTAGTCACAGCATACAAATATCTCTTGCAAAAATATGAGGTAAGTAATGTGTGCCTCAGCGAAGATATATTTTAGTAACATTACAATAATTTTTACATTGAATGATGCCAAATAGTTCATTAGTTAAAATATATTCAAATAGTGATAATAAACCTTTGATTAATATATTTCCCTATATATATTCAACTAAACGTTTAATAAATCGATCTGTTAATCATTATATAGTAATTGCTAATCTATTTTAAAGGTGAAAAAAAATTATAGCCTGTATCGGTCAAGGCGTCTAATTAGGGCCTGAGCACCGATGGTGTGAGGACCCTCTTGGAATTGCTCTGTTTATTAGGGCCCAAGCCTTGAAAAGGCGAAGGCCCTAATGTTTTCCTAAAGATTATTAATATTAGGGCCCAAGCCTTGAAAAGGCGAAGGCCCTATTGTTTTCCTTAGGATTATTATTAGGGCCCAAGCCCTGAAAGGGCGAAGACCCTATTGTTTTCCTTAGGATACATTTAAAAAAAAAATTCTAACGACTATTCAGGCACTTTTGGGGCCCTTAACATGCTCAAAAACTCTTGAAACTTTGCACACGGGTCAGAACCCGCGGCCATCAGGGCCGGGCTGAAGCTGGTACCCGGGCGTGGCAGGGGGGCTCGACAGCGCCCCCTGGAACGGGGTCCGAAAACTTGGTCCATAAATCAAACACGTTTGCATGTAATAATATGAAACTCAGTACACATATAGATCTCATCGGTTCATATATCCTTCATACTCTTACTTTTTACCCCAGCCCAACAGGAAGTCGGCTATTTAGGGTTGTTTGGAAAACGCATGCAATGGAATTTGAAATGCTCCTCCTAGAGAATTCAAACACACGGCACAAAACTCGGTCAACATGAAGTCAAGACATTGAGGATGAAAAATTGCCAGGGGATTTTTGATATCTCGAACGGTTTGGCCATGGCGAGGAAACGAAATTATGGCGCGAAAAGAGAAACAGGAAGTGTGTTATAACTTCTTTATACATTAACTGATCTTGGTGAAACTTCAGCAGTGTGTTCGTTGTAAGAGGCCGGTCACATGGATGTGACTATTGTGAGTCAAAGTTATAGCGCCACCAACTGGCAGCAGGAAGTGTGTCACTTTCAAAATGCTTTGAAATAACCCTCTTATTTTTACCCGATTTGCTTCCAACTTTATGTGTATAATGTAAAACACGGCAGATGTAGACCTGTGAAAATATTATTGATATCTTAGATACTGTTGCCGTGGCAACGCATCAAACTTTAATATTCTTGTTTGATGCTTTTGAGACTCTTAGCATGCTTGAAATTGCATAAAACTCGACAGACACATTACATTTATTAGCCAGTAGACATGTGCAAAGTTTCAGAAACGGGCGTGGTGAGGGCTCAGTAGCGCCACCTTTTGTCAAAAGTGGGGGGATTAGTTTTATCTACAGTTACAAAAATCGGTATGTATATTGTTCTCCTCGAGCCGGACAACTTTCTAATTTACAGTCATTAGCTCCGACCAACAGGAAGTCAGATATTTTGGTTTGAATATGGTGAGCCTCTCTCTGAGCCTACGTCTCTGTATGGCAAGCCCTTTTAACATTTAAAAGCTAAGTTTGACTATCCGGAATTAACATTGTAGATATCAACAACGTCTTTCTGACAAGTCGTAATTATATTTTGGATAGTTTGTATTATCATTTAAGACATCTGTAACGTAATTGACCTATGGCTAAGCCACGCCCCCAAACGCGATGAGCCAATCACAGTGCGCATAGCTAACCCAATAAAATGAAAGTTACAGATATCAAATTTCAGATATCTCTAATCTAAATGAATTTCAAGATATCTATAACTTGATAATAGATATCTACAATTAAATGGTAAATGGACTGCATTTATATAGCGCTTTCACAGACCCAATGGCCACCAAAGCGCTTTACATATTGCCTCACATTCACCCATTCACACACCGACGGCGGTGTCAGCCATGCAAGGCGCCATCCAGCTCGTCGGGAGCAGCTGGGGTTAGGTGTCTTGCTCATGGACACCTCGACACTTGGTCAGGTGGAACTGGGGATTGAACCACCAACCTTCCGGTTTGTAGACAACCTACGTGAACCACTGAGCCACTGTCGCCCCTGTTTATGACTTTCCCTAACTCCAGTTTGAGATATCTACAATGCCATTCTGACTAGTCATAATTTAAATGTATTTAAATGTATTGTTTGCTTTAAATTAAATTAAGATTGTATGTTTGGTAATTGAACCTAAATTAATTTGAAATTTATGTGCTATATTTCAGATCAATATATTTGTTTTCCTTCATTTTAATCAACACTAACTTTATTCTCATCTAAATTATAAATAACTTATTTCTGTATAAAATAAAAAATCCCGAATAATCCAGACCAACCAGAGCGCACTATTCCTACAACATCATCAGTGCTGAAGCAGAACTACCAGAGCCGTTCGGCGGATAGCGAGCAGATGCAGCATATGTGTTGTAACGAGGCAGGGTCAGGCCAGGGGGATCCATTTGCAGCTTTTTATTAAGAAATGGCAAACAGGGCAGAACAGAAAAGGCAGAGACAAACCAGGTTGACAGGCAAAGGGCAAAGACCTCCAGATAAATACTGGGCTTCTGGATTTACACATTTAAGTGCTGCAAAACAGATTGACCTATGACATCCTATGACAGGGATGGGCAACTTTGATGATAGTGAGGGCCACAAATATTTTATCGTCACTATCAGAGGGCCAAATGTGACTGTGCACTTCCACCAATGGGATATTGAAAAATTAGAGGTACCATTTTAGAAGAAAACAATGTATGTATGTATGTATGTATTACAGACTCTGCTTAGTGAATCAACCTGCATGTCCATATTCAATTATTTTTTCTGCTTCTTTTCATGAATGAACTTTTAACATAAACAAATAAAACATTACTGTGGCAAACATTTTTTAATATTATTCAAGTGCAAACATGTTGGGCTCTCAAAAAACAACCAATGATGGCACAAAACTGAAAAGTAGCCTATTAAGTGAAAAACTTAATGGGATATTGGAAAATTAGAGCTACCATTTTAGAAGAACAAAACATATGTATGTCTGTATTACAGACTCTGTAATGTTTAGTGAACCAACCTGCATTTCCATACTCTAGTATTTTTTTACTCAAATCTATTTTTTTCTGCTTCTATTCATTAATGAACTTTTAACATAAAAAAACAAAACATTACTGAGTAGCAAACCTTTTTTTTATTATTATTATTCCCGTGCAAACATTGTGGGCTCTCAGAAAAACATAAGCATACTTTCCACCATAGGCTATATCTCACCTACAGGGGGGGAAAGTTTAAAGTTGATGAGATACTTGTGGTCTCTCCTGCTGGCGTGCAATAGACTGGATGTCAATGTCAATGTTAGTGCAGCCAATCCTCATGAGCTGAAACAGAACGTCATCGCTGATCCTGTTTCTCTCTTTCGACTTTATATGTTTCATTGTGGAGAAGTTGCTCTCGCAAATGTACGTGCTCCCAAACATGCTGGCCATTGACAGTGCAAAATCCCTGAGAAGTGGAAAGCGAGACTCTGGTAGTAACCTCCAAAATGAAACTCCCCTCTCACTGCGCTTTGCTTGAAAAAACGGGTCTGACTGAATTTCGCAAAGTTCAAGCTGCAACTCGGAGGGTTGCTCGCTGACAGCAGCAGAGAGTGGGTCAGTGAATAACGCTATTCGTGGCTGCATGGCGTGGAAATCATGGAAGCGGCACTTAAACTGCTGCTGCAGTGTTTCGATGTCGGCTCTGTATTTGTGAAAATTTTTCTCGCATTCAGGGACATCTCTCCGGATCTCTTCACAAGCGGGAAAGTGTGCAAAATTTTGACAATTGGATGAAAATCCTTCTTTGAAAAGCTCTAATTTACGCCGAAATGCATTCATGTGTGCGTAAAGGTCGGATACAGTTTGGCCTCGCCCCTGTAACTGTGTGTTCAGGTGATTGAGGTGTGAGGTAACGTCCGTAAGGAAGGCCATATCGCAAAGAAATTCGGTGTCTCTGAGTTTCGGGTGTAGGCACTTGTATCGCCTCGAACACTGTCCTCCAAAAACACAGGCAGTTCGGTGCGCAACGCAAAAAAACGCTCCAGACACTTTCCTCGGCTCATCCATCTAATCTCGGTGTGCATTTGTAAATCCCCATACGCCGCGCTCACTTCATCCAAAAAAGCTACAAACCTCCTGTGACTGAGAGACCTATTCCCTCCTCGGATGAGATTTGTAACTTTAGTCACCAGATCCATAACGTGACTGAAGTTAAGTGTCTTGGCACAGAGAGCCTCCTGTAGAATTAAAATAAAGATTAGATTCAGCGCTAAAATCTACACATCCTGTCATATTAATCTCATAAGGCCGCCCATATTCATATTAATAAAAAGTGAGCTGAAGATAAAACAACTCACCTGATGGATGATGCAATGCAGTATAGGACAGTCCACCCCACTCTGTTGGAGGAGCCCGGCGAAACCATTGTGTTTTCCTTGCATCGCAGGTGCGCCATCAGTAACGACGGCTGACAGCTTGTCAAAGCCACCATAGTACTCATTCACAACACTTTTAACGGCGTTGAAAATATCCGTCCCTTTAGTAGTGTTGTGCAACGACACCAATTTTAAAAGTTCTTCGTGTACAACAAATGAACTGTCAATCGTTCTAGTGAAAATCAGTAGCTGGCTAATATCCGTCACATCTGTGCTCTCATCCAACGCTAATGAGAAGTATTTGCAGTCGTGCATGACTTGTTTCCGTTTGCCATCGACGTGATTATGGATGTCAAAAATTCTGCGTGTCACTGTGCGACGGGACAAGGAGACAGTTTCAAAGTTTTTAGCCATATCCTCGTCTCCAAATGATTTGGCCATTTCCATTGCACACCTCTTCACCATTTCGCCATCTGACAAGGGCTTCTTGGCTTTAGCAAGCTCCAGTGCCACAGAGTAAGACGCCTTGAGGGCAGACTCCTGTGTGGATGTAATTCTGGTAAAAATACTCTGTTGTTGATTGAGCTTCACTTTCAGGTCAGCTATAACAGCGGACCTAGCAGCTCCGGTGTACTTTCCATATTTGTCCCTGTGTGTGGTATTGTAATGGCGACTTAAGTTGAAATCTTTGAATACCGATCTTGTTTCCAAACACACTAAACACATAGGTCTACCTTTGAATTCTGTAAACAGATAATCTGTTTCCCATCTCGTCTGAAAAGTACGATTCTCTTGATCCAGTTTTCTTTTTTTACCTCTCATGGTTCTTTATCTTCATCGTTGACTGTAGTGAAGCAGGTCCGACTAAGAGTTTTGCATAGGAGGCGCCCTCTATCGGTATACTGTATCATTACCATTTGGAATTTGTTCAGATGTAGTAAAACCCCTTTTGGCGGGCTGTGACGCGTTCGGGCGCGCGCGCCTCCATTGGACGCGACGTCACGCCAGGCTCGCTGGTAGGCTGCTACAGTTGCTGCGGAGCAGCCAATGAGCGCGCTAGACAGCCCGCTCTAGGTCTGCTAGCTGCTGCACTGCGTTGACAATTATGCAAAATTAAGGATCATTTTTGGCTTCATATCTCGAGAAAAGATGACCTTTCCCGTAGCGTAAGCTTCTTACGCAATACGAGAGAACATCTCGTAAGAGAACAACATTTCTATGGTATTTGAAAATTGACCCGCGGGCCGCACTGAGTGAGGAGGCGGGCCGCATGCGGCCCGCGGGCCGCCAGTTGCCCATCCCTGTCCTATGACATTAAAAATGATTCTAAATTTAAATTATCTCATATATGTGGCTATTGTGATTCACGATCATAGGCCCTGTCCAAAATGGTACACTTCATATTAATTTTCGGTCTTGTGTACTTATTTCATGTGTCCGTTAAATCCATGAGACCGTAGGGCGACAGTGAAAGCGGGGTTACGTTTTTGCACGTCGTGCACAGTAACCCTAAAGGCACCGGGGTGGCAGTGCCACCGGCTTGTTTATATATATATATATAAATATAGCTGCGAGCAGTGATGAAGGGCCAAAGCCGGCGGCACCGCCACTCCGGTGCCTTTAGGTAACTAAAGGCTCCGGGGTTGCGGTGCCACCGGCTTGGGCCCGCAATCACTGCTCGCAGCTATATTTATATATATATATATTTTTTTTTCTCTATTATTATTTTTCTTACGACTATTCGGGCACTTTTGGGGCCCTTAACATGCTCGAAAACTCTTGAAACTTTGCACACATGTCAGAATCCGCGGCCATCAGGGGTGGGCTGAAGCTGGTTTCCGGGCGTGGCCGGGGGGCTCGACAGCGCCCCCTGGAACGGGGTCCGAAAACATGGTCCATAAATCAAACACGAATGAAAAATTGCCAGGGGATTTTTGATATCTCGAACGGTTTGGCCGTGGCGAGGAAACGAATTTATGGCGAGAAACAAGAAACAGGAAGTGTGTTATAACTTCTGCATACATTAACTGATCTTGATGAAACTTCAGCAGTGTGTTCGTTGTAAGAGGACTATCACATGGATGTGACTATTGTATTAGGCAATATATTTCCATATATGGGATTTAATATTTATATTTTCCAATATATTGCAATATATGCATAGACCATATATGTATATATATTGATACATATAAAACAAATATATTGCAATCAAGACCAAAAAAGTCACTATATTTTTACATATAATAGGTTGTCTTTATATGCTTTAATATACTGCAATATGTGTGCTATATATATATATATATATATATACTGTAGTTTTACGGAATTTTACTGTTTTATTTTGCAGATTTTTCATTTATAATTATATAATATTACATATTAATTAATAGATTAGCATTTATATCCTTTTATCCTTACGGAACAAAAATATATGGGAATATACTGCAAAATATAATGCGATATATAACATAATACATTTCCATATATTGGAAACAAGTGCTTATATTTTCAATATACTGAAATATATGCATTGATCATGTATGGCTATGTATTAATACATATAAAATATTTATTAATGAAAACAAAAATAGTATTACATGTAATATTCACAGTTTTATCCTTTATTGTGTACATTATTGCACATACATGTTCCCATATACATGTTAATGTATATTCACATTCATGAAATGAGTTACAACATATTTCTAGTTCCCAGCATGCTTTGCTTCTGACTGGTAAAGGAGAGCAAATGTTAAAATCAAGTGTTATTTAATGTGTTTTGCTCAATATTAATATAGTGGGAGATCTGTTAGTGTTTCATGTTCTATTACTTTGGAATTTAAAATGTTTTCTGGTATGTCTGAGTTTTTGGGGTCACCATTGTGCTGAAGAGTAGAGCCTGTGGTTATGTTGACGATTGGCTTGAGACCATTAAGAGTAGACTTTAATTACTATATTTGAATAATAATTACTTTGAGCACGATATTAAGTGGTATAAAGGTTTGCACATATATTGCAGGTTGCATATTTATTAAGTATTCATATATTTTAGATGTTACATGTATTTATCTCCATATATGTACATGCATTATATGTGCATATTCACATATATGTACACATATATTGTGCATACATTTTACAATATATATGTACATATATTTCCATATAATTTTGACATATATTCTACCATATATTAAACATACATGTGACACTATATCTTTACATATATTATCAATACATTTTGCCATATAAATCGGAATACATTTGGATATTTATAAATATAAAATTGCATATATTTTACGATATATAAACACATATATTATATATTCATGCTCAATATATTGCAATATATGGAAAGCGGCAATCATTTGTATATTTTGCAATATATTGCAATATATTACATGAATATATAATATATTGTATAATATATTTATCATTAACATATTATTCCATGTATTTCCAATATATAATATATTGGAAAATAATATATTACAATATATTTCAAGTAATATATTGGTAAATATATTTTCCTTTCGTAAGGGAAAAAAAAAAGTCCATATTTGACCTACTATATATATTTCTGGCCAAAAAGTACTTGATCTTGAACATTCTATATATAATGACTCCTTATGATGTTACATCAGCCATACAGTAGTCCACATTTAACCTATTGAACATATCTCTTGCCAAAGGGTCCTCAAAAGGTTGTTTTTTTACTATATAAACTCATTGACTCCTTCTGATGTTACGTCAGTAGTCCATATTTGACCTAATGAACATATTTCTGGCAAAAGAAAACTCAATTTTGAACTATCTACACATTCTCATTGACTACATCTGATTATACATCAGCCAGCCTGTATTTGACCCATTGTAAAAAAAATTCTGGCCAAAGGGTCCCCAAAAGGCAGCTTACTATATATTCTCAAAGACTCTATCTGATGTTAAATCACCAGACAGTAGTCCATATTTGACCTACTGAATATATTTCTGGTCAAAAAGTACTTGATCTTGAACATTCTATATATAATGACTATATATAGAAGTCTTATGATGTTACGTCATCCACATAGTCCACATTTAACCTATTGAACATATTTCTGTCCAAATGGTCCTCAAAATGTTTTTGTTTTTTTACTATATAAACTCATTGACTCCTTTTGATGTTACGTCAGTAGTCCATATTTGACCTAATGAACATATTTCTGGCAAAAGAAAACTCGATTTTGAACTATCTACACATTTTCATTGACTACATCTGATGGCCGGAAATATGTAATTAGGTAAAATATGGACTACTGTATGGCTGACCTAACATCAGAAGGAGTCCATAAGTTTATATAGTAAAAAACAAACATTTTGTGGACCCTTTGGCCAGAAATATGTTCAATAGATCAGACTTTTGTATGGCTGAGGTAACTTCAGATGAAGTCAATCAGTATGTGTGGAAAGTTCAAGATTGAGGACTCTTTACCAAGAATTATGTTCAGTAGGTTCAAATTGGACTACTGTATGTCTGATGTAACACCAGAAGGAGTCATTATGTAAAGATTGTTCAAGATCGAGTACTCGTGGGCAATGTTTCATTTACAATACATCAGCCAGCCTGTATTTCACCCATTGTAAAAAAAATCTGGCTAAAGGGTCCCCAAAAGGCAGCTTACTATATATTCTCAAAGACTCTATCTGATGTTAAATCAGCCAGACAGCAGTCCATATTTGACCTACTGAATATATTTCTGGTCAAAAAGTACTTGATCTTGAACATTCTATATAGTGACTCCTTCTGATGTTACCTCAGCCATACAGTAGTCTATATTTAACCTATTGAACATATCTATGGACAAAGGGTCCTCAAAATGTTTTTTTTTTTTACTATATAAACTCATTGACTCCTTCTGATGTTTCGTCAGCCAAACAGTTGTCCATATTTGTCCTGCTGAACATGTTTATGGCCATAGAGTACTCGATATTAAATTTTCTAGATATTCTCATTGACTACTTCTGATGTTACGTCAGCCAGCCTATATTTGACCCAATGAAAACAAAAGTCAACTTACTATATATACTCGTAGACTCCGTCTGTTGTTAAAGCAGCCATACAGTTGTCCATATTTGTCCTGCTGAACATATTTATGGCCAAAGAGTACTCGATATGGAATTTTCTACATATTCTCATTGACTACTTCTGATGTTACATCAGCCAGGCTATATTTTGGTCCATAGAAAATATTTTTAGCCAAAGGGTGCCCAAAAGGCAACTTACTTTATATTCTCAAAGACTCTTTCTGATGTTAAATCAGCCAGACAGTTGTCCATATTTGACCTGCTAAACGTATTTCTGACCAAAGTGTCCTCGATATTGAACTTTCTACACATTCTCATTGACTACTTCTGATGCTATATCAGCCAGCCTATATGTTGCCCATCTAAAATATTTCTGGCCAAAGGGCAACTTACTACATATTCTCATAGACTCTTTCTGATGTTAAATCATCCAGACAGTAGTCCATTTATGACCTGCTGAATATATTTCTGGCCACAAAGTACTTGATCTTGAACATTCTATATATAATGAGTCCTTCGGATGTTACCTCAGCCATAGAGAAGTCCATAATTAAAATTATAAACATATTTCTGGCCAGAAAGTACTCGATCATGAACTTTCTATTCGTTCTTATTCACTCCTTTTGATGTTACGTCAGCCATACAGTAGTCCATTTTTTGACCTACTGAACATATATCTGCCCAAACAGTACTCGATCATGAACTTTCTATACATTCTCATTCACTTCTTCTGAGTAGTCCATTTTTTGACCTACTGAACATATTTCT